TAAGCACAACACAGAATCCTAATCACAGATCGCTAGAATAACATGCACAGGTTTAGATCAATCCAAACTCGTATTGCGTGCGATTAGATCATTTCCATCTAGAATTTATGGGGTCCTTTGCCAAAATCTGGAAAATCTCACCGGGGGCGCGGAGAGCGGTCCATCGGAGAGGGCTTTCAGAGCATCGGAGGACGGAGATTTGGAGGTAGTCTTGGCCGATTCGGAGAGGGCGGGCCAGGAGGCAGCGCCCCCCATCACGACGGCGCCCGCGTCGATCGAGCCGTTGGGCGGCCGCTTCCAGGCCGGTTTCTTCCCTCGAGCGGCGTCCGACGAGGACGGAGCCACGTCCTCCACCGGCGGCCTTTGGGGGGATCGATCCAAGGCGTCCGGGAAGGGGATCGCAGCGGCCGTAGGCGGGGACGGCGTGGAGGAGGGAGAGGACGGGGCCTCAGGATCGCCGGGGACGAGGTGCGAGCGGGGATGGCGGCCGGGCCGGGCGGCGCGTGGGGAAGGGGTGCTGGACAAGGGATCGGAGGCGGCGGCGGCGTTGGAGGAGGCCATGAGATATGGGGAAGAGGAAGGATGGAATTGGGTAGTCTTCGTTCCAAAGATTCCACGGAGGAGAGCACGACCAAGAGAGGGGATTCTCCCTTTCACGCAGTCCAATGTGCATCTCCCGTGTCTCTCTTTGTTAGAGATCTTGTTATATAGGGCACAAAACCAACCGAATCATTTCTTTGCAACATTTTTCTTTATTACTATAATTCTGAACCATATTATATAGGGCATACATTTGTTGAATATCTCTCCATATTAAAGATATTTTTGTTAATAATATCTCTCCATACAACCGTTAATAATATTTTGGTTCTTATGTCTCCCAGATATCTTCATGTCAAATGTAGCAACAAATCTAATATTTTGGAAGAAATAGACTATAGAAAAATCATATCCAATATTATATATATATATATATATACATTTTTATTTTTGGCTTTCCATTTAATTACCCTAAATTAACAATTAATATATTACGCCACTGATCTCATGGTTAAGTCTTCAGGCCTTTGTGATGAAGTAGGCATTAACAATTCTTCTACCAGCAAATGGCTTCACACATAGTCAAATTAGCAAAGCACCGTGTCATGATCTCTCCGATGAGCACATTATTGTATATATGTAACAATTTAGTTGCAGATGACTAGTCTCATGACGATAAAAGAAAGACGCTTAGTCACAAAAAAGTCCACTTTTTGACCACTTTCGGGAGATGGAAGTCAATGAATCATATGTTGAATGATTTTCCACTGAATTCCCATTGCCAACACCATACGAAATTAACCTATAAATGAAACAATGTGATTGACTTGACACCGTACCAAATCAACCATAACATCTAAGAAGATTAGCACTGCATAAGCAACTAATTTAATATAGCAATCAGTGGCGGTACAAATATAAAATTTGTAATTCCCCATCGTCAAAAATGCAATTTTAGAATCAAGCACAATAAAACAGAATTGATTCATTAAAAAAAGGGGAAACAGATTATATAGTTCAACAAGCTAACAATCAACTGGAACTTGGAATTATTCCACAGATAAGACGAAACAAGTCCTTAAACAATGAGCAATCAGTTTATCATCATTGTTCCAGAGGTCGTTCTCGTCCCAATAATTCTGATAAAAAAATCTTACATTTTAAGTATATTGATCAAACTCGATCAATGAAGATGGTTATAAAAGATACATCATGTTATCAGTACAACCATCTTGATCACAACCCCAATTGCTAAAGGCTTCTCGGGCAGGTAACCTTTACAGTACTTCTGAGAGACGCACTAGAATTATACAAACGACCACAATATTCTGGTCTAAACGGTTAGATGAACAGTACTGTAAAGCAGTAAAAAGGAGGTGACAAGGCTTTGATACTAAAATGCGCTCTAAAGCATATCAAAATCCGTAGCAACAGAATGAGTCTATCTAGAAATAGAATCACCATAATCTTCAGCAGCAGCAACACACAACACTGGTGCCAGAACAGATTAACAACTAAAGCATACCCTTAGGGAATTTAGTCACAACTAGTCCATCTTGTCATGCCAACAATATGATCAGCTTAGCTTGTATTTGGAAATTTTGCCTCGTATTGCTGGAGGGACTGAATATGGGAAGAAAGAAAGAAAGCTAAGTTAAAACCAGCAGCTAACACAAAACAACCGAGAGAAGAGTGTCCATTACCATGAAAGTAGCTGTGATCATCTTTCCAGCAAACCACCTCCCATGGAGTGCATTCTGTGCTTTCATGGCTGAGGTTATATTGTCAAAGCGTAGGTATACATAGCCAGCACTATTTCTGTTTACAGGTGAAGAATAAGCCGCATGCCAAAAATATTTCTAACATATGAAACATATAAAAATTGGAAACAAGAACCCAACTACATTTGATCATTATACTGACCAAATCTATATTATAGATGCAACCACAAATGACCAAATCTATATTATAGATGCATAAAGGCAACAAATTGCCTACTTGTAAACATTTCAAAATCAGATCCCGCTAATTGCACATTCCAATAATCATCTGATGCCTGCTTAGCATAATATTTCAAAATAGATGTTTGCTGTTACTAGAAAGATGTCACTAAACACATCAAACACAAGATAAATGAACTTTGTTTCAATGATACAGGTAAAGTTTATGACAGAGAAACTTGGCCATCCACGTAAATTGTTACACAAAATTGTTACATAACATATATCACCTAAAAAAAATTGGCCATCCACGTTGTCTTGGCTTAAACATGGATAAGATTCTCATCTTTGTATTGCGAAACACAAGTACAATATTCCAAGGTTTGCTACACTGTAGCATACTGCTCAATACAAGCGGTACGAAACGATCTGACAGGGGACTGATACAAGAGGTATATCGGCATGCCCCTATGTGCTATATATTGGTACACTCGGTACAGATCGGTACATAACTGATCAGAACACTGGTACGGATCGGTAAGGCGAACCATAAAATAATCTATAAAATTCTAAAGGAATGCGAAACAAAAGTTTTGAATTTGAATATTGATCATTCTCCTCATTCAGGATACTTCAGAAAGTAAATAGTGCATCGAAAGCAAGTGTGAGATTCAAAGACAAAGAAGCAAAAAAGGTAACTTTGTAACCATTTTCTCTCGCCCATCTCCTCACATACATATCTTGTGACTGGTGGCAATGATGGACCATTAAGTTGGTCGCACACTAGCCCCACACCAATAAAATTCTCTGTTACTGATCTAATCCAAATCCTAAGGTTGAACTGAACCTGCAACTGATCTAACAAACCTTGGCAAACATTTTAATGGTATAAAGAGTTCGCTAACCAACCTAGTGTTACTAATGATGTGCTTATTAAGTACCAACAACTTCTAGGATGACATATTGTTCAATGTAAAGAAAGTTAAGGTACAACATAAACAGATAGAAAATACCATTGGAGGCCTGGCCTGAACCAGATAAGATAACCAGAAGCTTTTCAGGTGCACAAAGTGAAGGCAGCAAAAATAACAATAAAAGCTAGAAGAAAAGACAATATTATTTCAGGCTACTAACTTGTCCACAGAAATGTGTTTTACTGTGCCAAACTTGGAGCATTCATCTTGAACATCGTCCTTGATATCTAAATCAAAATCTGGTTCCGCCTGCAAAAGAAAAGCATTGCCTCCCAGCATAATTATCATAGATATGATATTAATAATAATCAAAGCATTTGGCAAAGGAGAACAAGAGGATATTTAAGAAGGTTCCGTGAGCCAACCTCCACACTAGGATCAAACATATTTTTCAACAGTAAACATTCACTAGGAACTCCAGCAGTCTGTAAAGCAGGTGCAGTTGCTGAAGCAACTGGAAGACCTGAAGCTGGAAGGCCTGCAAGTGAAGGCACAGAAGGTTGCAGGATGGAGGAAACTAGAGGAGGACCAAGAACTGATGCAGTTGGGGCCGGGAGAAGTGAAGGATTGACAGCAGAAGCAGCAAGTGCACCAGGAACACTGCATATGACCCAAAGAAATTTTTTGAAAAATATACAATTTATCATTTGCAAATTTCAGTCAAGCCAAAAGAATTGACTTTTAACAGATTCATGTTAGAATATTTTACTTCAGCGAAAGAATCTGAGCTGCCACAAAATGGTTGGCATGTTTACATTTTAGATAGCAAACAATGGTTTAGCAAAATAATACCTGCTAGCAGTGCCAGTACGGTCCAACTTCTGCATTAGAAGTGCTCTGGAACTAGCATTAAGAGACTGCAAATAGATGGATAAATAATAAGTGGCTGAATTGGTCAATCAGTACATTGTCTATCTAACCTGATGATCATAAGCAACAGTATTATGTTTATTGTTTATTCTCCATGAATGAAGAAGTTATCAACATACGCTAAGGATATTATTCATGTAATCCCCATCAGACACCATAGGCCATCAAGAATTGTAAATCAAACTATTTCATCGATTACAAAGTCCGATAAACAACTGATCATGGTAAACATTCTCATGCACTTGCAAATGAAATCATGATGTTCCAATTTTCTACTGGAAATGATTTATCCTCATGGATTGTTCACTATTCATTGCATGACTTAGATGGCTTTAAATGAGGAAAATGACACGACATTGATATTTTCTTAATATAGAACAGTATTAGTAAGTTTCTGATAAAAAAAAGTTCCTACTCTGGGGAGATGCTCAGTTACAGTCATGACAGAGGTCTCCATGCAGAATTTTTTTTTAATCAATTCTTGGATCCTTTTCTGTCAAATAAAGTGTAAGCTACAATTGTGTAGTCAATAATTTGGCAGCCCTGTCAAAATATACAGAATATATTTATGTAGCTTTGTGGATTCCTTGTTAAGTGCAAGGCAGTCGGTTGGTAAACAAAGGGGATTTGTATGTACGACCAAAATTTGACTTGGAACCCAGGCAACAATGCAGCATTGCTCATACTTGAGTAAACTATCCTAACAAGACAGTGTAAAGGTTCATATTATTTTACCTTAGTTAAGGAAAGATACAGACTCCCAAAACAAGAATAAGATAACAGCACAAGCTTAACTTACAGAAACATCTCCAGCCAACATGTGTAGAATGTCAAAACAAAAAACTAAGTCTTAAAACAATTTGCTGTCAGTTACCACAAGAAACTAAAGACTGCTAATGCAAGAGGAAAGCAGAAGATACAAACCAAGCCGCCGCCTTCGTCGTCATCAAGGTCACCAGCATTTGTCCCAACATCTTGAACTCCAGCTTGGTCGGTTACAGCCGAAACCTAGGTGTTTAGTGATAATTATGACATGGGAATGCAATAACATCTAGTTGTACACATCAAGGATAAATGAGCCTGTGTAAAATAGAAAATACCTTGATTGTCCTGCCAGCAATTTCCAATTGCCCATTTAAACTTTGTGCAGCTCTTGCATCTTCAAGACGTGCAAACTAAAAGAACGCACAGCAAAGTGTAAGCTATAGTCCAAGAAGACAACTAACAGTCTCAAAATAGTATTCACCTGGATAAAACCGTAACCTTTGCAAAGCCCAGTTTGAGGATCAAGGGGCAACTGAACCAGCTCCACTTGTCCAAATGGTTCAAAGACCTGCAGATACACCAT